ATTTTCTTCGCTACAAAATTATAATATAATAAACAAAGAAAACTATAAGAATAAATGAATATGGATAATTAAAATAATGAAGACTTCCTTATTATTATTATCATTATTATTATTATTATTATTATTATTATTATTATTACTATTATTATTATTATCTCCTTTGATTTCTTTTGTATAGACATTTCCTTCCGGGTCCCAACCAGAGACCTAAGTTTAGAAATGGCTTCATGACAACTTTCATTGATCAATTTTGTAAAAAAAAAGAATATTATCATTTATATATTATTATATATGTCATATCTTTATCAAAACTATTCAGCTACTCCTTTTTTTTTAGATCTTACAATGGCAGTAATAAAATACAAACAATTTTAATAGATTATTTTAATGGATTATTTTAATGTATTATTTTAATGGATTATTTCAATGCATTATTTTAAACTGGGTTACAAAGTCGCTGAAACTGTTCAAAGAATTCAACAAGTGCAAAGAAATAAATGAATATCCGACTATATTGCTCAAAACTATTTCAAACGATTTAACTGTTGGGTGTTGATTCTTAAAATAAAGTCAACAAATAGACAAACATGTGTTGTTGGTTATGACATTTTAATGGTAATATTAGCCATTTCCTTATGTGGAAATATACGGCATTCATTGAGCGAACATCCACTGCAACTATAAACATACATCCGTAAATCAGCTGGGTGAGTCCCTGTGGGTTTGGGTTAGGGTTATTCACAGTTGTTCATATCGTCCACTGGACTGCATTATGATTCCAGAAAAGAAATATAAATATATATATATATATATATATATATATATATATATATATATAGCTGCTCTCTCTGGTTCCCAGACTCCATGAATTCAGGCTGGCATCCCGCTCTCACCCTTACACCGTAGAAACCTTCAAATGTAGCCGTCTTTCTACTCCAATAGCTTCATACTGCACCTCTCGCCAGTGGAACACCCTCCCAATTACTGTTTCCCTGAAAGCTATAATCTCCAACTATTCAAATGTAATGTCAATCAACATCTCCAATTACCCTGATCTACCCACTATCCTTCTCCTCTTCCTTTCTCCTATCTCTATCTGCTCTCGCTCCAAATCTTCCGCAACCCCCTGCAGCCTAGTGGCTTCACGCCTTGCTTTGGGGCACAATGCACAAAATATATATATATATATATATATATATATATATATATATATATATATATATATATATATATTCCTTTACCAACTATCTCATTAATTTCCAAATTCTTTAATGTTTTCTTTTTTAATTTAAATTCAATTTCCGAAGCTATCCCAAACAAAACACTCAGTGCCATCCCAACTATGTAGATAATCTTTTGCCTTTTTCGGAATAATTGCATTTCTCAAAGAGAAATTTTTTCCATTACTTAATCAACATAATGTTTTCTTCTCCCAAAGGTGAAGAGTAGATTAAATTAGCCCGAACTGTGTTTTTCCATATAACTATATTCTATTGCCTTTCAAAGCGCACTGCAGATTAAAATAGTCCGTACTCTGTTTTTTTTTTTCAATATAATTATCTTCTATCTCCTTCCAAAGCGTACAGCAGATTAAAATAAACCGTATTTTTTTTTATCCATATAACTATCTTCTATCACTTCCCAAAGCTTACAGGAGGTTAAAATAGTCCGTACTTTTTTTTCAATGTAATTATCTTCTATTGCCTTCCAAAACGTACAGCACATTAAAATAGTCCGTATTTCATTTTTCCATATAACTATATTCTATCTCTCCCCAAAGCATACAGCAGTTTAAAATAACACGTCTTTGTTTTTTCCATGTAACCACATTCTATATCCTTCAAAAACGTACCGCAGATTAAAATAGTCCGTACTTTGTTTTTCAATATAACTATCTTCTGTTGCCTTCCAAGACGTGCAGCAGATTAAAATAGTCCGTACTTCTTTTTCCCATATAACTATATTCTATGTCTTCCCGACGCATACAGCAGGTTAAAATAGCCTGTACTTTGTTTTTCCATATAACTATCTTCTCTCCAAAGTGTACAGCAGATTAAAATAGCCCATACTTCTTTTTTACATATGACTATATTCTATCTCTTCTCAACGCATACAGTAGGTTAAAATAGCCTGTACTTTGTTTTTCCATGTAACTATCTTCTGTCCCCTCTCCCTTACTCTTCTTATTTTGTTATTTCATTTCCTAAAGACTTCAAGTCGATGAAAAACGTTATCATCCACTTCAAGCGGGTCACAGTTACCTCGCTAGTTTTCTTAAAAACGATACTTTCTTTATGTTTTAGTGCTCCCATGTATGTATCGTTCAAGGAAAAGACAACGATAGATTTTTTTTCACCTAGAGGTTGGGTCTCAACACTATGTGGTTTAATTAATGAATTAATTGAGAAATTTAAAGTTTATTTCAATGGGTTTTCCTCCTTGTCGATTCGACCCTTCACGCCTTTTCTAACTTCTTTCTCTTGATCCTCGTTTAAACATTCCGCTTAAAAAGAGCATCACACTTCATTAGGAATATAATTTGAGATCATTTACGGGAGCCTTCTTTGTTTTCTTGTCAGTTGGCCCCATATCTTGAAATTAACCAGTCTTCTACGTTTCTACTATTCTCTAGTAAGTTCTCCAGTATTTTTTGCCTCAGATTTTTTAAAACACGTGGTAAACCGTATTTTCTTTTTTCTTTACGCTCTTCTTATTCAGTTCCTGGCCTGCACAAAAATTCTATGTTGCCGTTCCAACACTTTATGAAATTCTTCACCCATATATTTTCTTCATGGTATCAGGGGTTTAACTATCAGTAATACAACGCCTCTTCCAGTAATCTATTCGTGTATGCCCCTTTTTTACCACACCCATAACACACTGTCTCCCAATAAACTCTCATTATTCCTCCTTTCCAAACGTTTAAAGCAGAGAGATATTTATTCACTGGCTGCCCCAAACTTCAAGTCCTATACTTGCATCCCTTCACTCACCCACCCCCGTTTTACCATCTCTGGGGTTCTCATTAGGACAAGGTATTCTCCTTTACCACAGTCAAAAACACATCGGGACTCTTCTTGCCGCCCTGGGACATGACCGAATCTACCTTCCCCTCGTGACCAATAATGCCTATCAAGGGGTCACTTTTTCATCTCTTATCAACAATTAACTTTCATGGCCTCTCTTCCTTGACCTGTTTCCCCTTTACACTAATTCCCATCTATGGGTAACCGACCCAATCTATCTAGGATATTGTCACTCGCTTTTACCTCCCTAAAGGCCCCGTCGAAGATTCTACTTAAATATGTCTTCCCTACCTGCGGAAACATCCATCAGCCCTTTCTTCTATCTGGTTCAAGGAGGGCTATTTCGGATAATGGCTTTATCCTCGTAAGCAGATTTGCTAAACTCTCTCCCTCTCGTTGTTTTACCCACACAAGGATCATAGCCTCAGTAGAGCTGGCCACAGATCTGAATTCTTCCAGATTGCTGCAAAACGCCCCAAGTCAGACCTTTGTTTTAACAGCGAGACCAAATACGTTTTTGTGTATATATATCTACGTTCATTTCGTAGATAAGAACCTTTTTTTAATGGCTCTTAACCAGGGACTTAACTCAGTAGTCAACCTGTCAAGCTCCATCCGCTTATAAGTCTGTTTTGAACTCCTTCTATGTTGTTCACGCTACGACATCTCATTCTTCTGACGTATATTTATATATATATATATATATATATATATATATATAAGAAAAATATATACGGAAAAACAAACAAAAAATATATAATTATGCTGTTTTAATATAATATATACGTTTCGGTCTATAAACCATCTTCAGGACATATTCATAAATTATAACATTATCAATACAACATGACAAAGACGATGTACATAAGAACAAGACTTATCCAAACAGATAACTGAAAGTTTTATAAGATCAGCGCTCCGTTTAAAACATGGTCACGTTGTCGTCACGTGACGACGCTTGGAGTATTCTAAAATTTGAGTATTTTGAATGAAAATGAAAAATAATTCTATTTTGATCTAAAAATATGAACGCTTGTCGAGCATTAATCTCGCTAGAAAATTGTTAATTATATTTTATGAATATGTCCTAAGATTTTATTAGGTCCGACGTTGACATATTAACATTAAAACAGCATAATTGCATATCTTTTGTTTGTTTTTTTATTATATTTTTTTCATAATGTCGGATCTATATCCATCTTTTACATATATATATATATATATATATATATATATATATATATATATATATATATATATATATAAACTACCATTAAATGCGTTCCTGACCGTTGGAGGAGAAAAAAATGAGCGATAAAAAAAAGAACGCAATTGTGGCCTAACTTGGTGTTGTGTAGATACACCCAATTTATATAAGCGGGATACCGACCATATAAATATTTTGTTTCTGGATTAAGAGATTGCCAGAGACTACTGCGTTTTTAACATAAAACAGTCTTCCCCAAGAATATACTAAACTAACTGTAAATATTGTGTAATAATACATTTTGTTAACGTACATTTTGTGTTGTAATTCCAGATTTATTCAACACTTTAAAAATCGGTCTTTTTGGCCCATCTCCTTTCTCCATTTGCGTCAAAACAAGCCTCCTGTTTTTGTTTTCTGGATGGTTGCTAAAAACATAAATGAAGAATAGTATCTTTAAAAAATCAAAAAATCTTTAAAAAACTAAATGAAGTAGTAAGCAACAGGCTTGATTGAGTGATTTGTTTTATTTTATGGATTACCAACCCTTTCCAGGTTATTTAAAACCATAAACTAGTTTTAGATTGTAAGAATCGTTTAGAGATAATAATAATAATAATTTACTGATACAAGTTCTACTAATTAACCCATAGCTGGAGGAGAGATGGATTCAATAAGTGAATACAACGAACCTGTCTGGAATTGTAACTCGTCTCTCCGATTTCCAATTTTGATTCGTTATCGATTACACCACCCTCACATACAAGCTTACAACACTTGGTATTCTCAAACGATCACCCATCTAGGTACTGAGTTGGCTCGACGTTGCTCAACTTCAGGGATCGTACGAAAACCGGTGTTTGGACGTGATATGGCTTGTAAGCCTCTTTTACCTACAGAAGGATAATAATACCATGGTGTGAACATGTGAACAATAAGGAAGTTTTGAAGAAAGTAGAATAAAAAGAACCATGATCACTTACGTCCTAAAGGGATACGAGGTATAAAAGTAAACGCCTAACCTGTAGTGATCTCTATCCTCACTGAATGCCATGAACATTGGGCTAAAGTATCCACGCATATGGGTATTTACCACGTCTTCCTTACTGAGACGTGATGTGACACAAGGTCGGGTTTATTTTGGGGGACCCGATCGCGTACACCCGGGTCAAGTACAAAAATTCTCCAAGCCCCAGCAACCGTTGTTTGGGCTAGCCATGGTGGCGAACAACGATCCCCTTCTTATGTGCAATGAGAGGGTGTTGCCTCACGCAGCTGTTAACCAGGACCGGGAACCTCGCAGTGTTTATTTTCTTCTGTTGCGTCGTTAGGGCTAGCCAAGGTGGCGAGCACCGTCCCCACTCTATAGTGCAATGAGTGGATACAGCTTTGTGCAGCTGTTGCCCTCAGTTGAGTCGCTGCCCTCCGACGGAATCACAACTGAGTCTCACTCTGCCTGAAAACAGAAACGCAACAGCTATAATAAACCCTACCCGGCATTTGCCGAAATAAGTATCTACGTGTATATCGTTTAACATATTTGTCTAGGTAACCATTACTATTGCTTAGTGAGTTTATTCTTAAGTGGCACGGACACGTGACCTTGCTAAGTCTATTATTCGTCCATGCTTAAAATATTGCTGCTATATATATCTGGTTTTCCTGCTATATATTTAGAGATTCTTGACAAAATCCAAAGAAGAAAATGCAATGTTATTGGTCTTTGCCTGACATCTCGGCTTTCCCAGCGCCGAAATGTAGTTTTCCTGTGTCTTTTCTATAAATACTTTCTTGGTAATTGTTCTGATGAATTTTCCTCTATGGTATCTTGACTTTATGAATTTAAACGCAATACTAAACTGGCGACAAGGTTTCATCATTTTACAAGTTGAAATGGCTAGATGTAACCGTAAGTTCTATGCTAACAGTTTCTTCTCTAGCACTCTTCGCTTGTGAAACTCTATTCTGGTTTCTTACGTCCCAGTCAATTTTGATCTTCAAAAATTCAAATGCAATGCCAGCTGTTATCTTCTGTCTTCTTAATTCTTGTTCTTTTATTGTTCGTCTCCTTAATAATATTTTCTCATATTCTCTAACACTCGATAATCTATTGCATCTTAGTGGCTTTATTGCCTTGCTTGGAGTGAAATGATTTTTTTCTTTTTTTTTTCATGGCAATTCTTTCTTATTTGGCACCTCGACTTTACGAATTTATACGCATTACTAGAGTGGCAGTTATGTCTCATAAATTTTCTTTGAAATAGCTAACTATAGTCGTAAGTTCTATTTTTATAGTTTCTTCTCCCGCACTTCTCACCTGTGGAACTCTCTTCTAACTTTTCCTGTCAACTACAATCTTCAAAATTTTAAACTCAACGCCAACTGTTGTTTTTTTCATCTTTGAATCCTGTTCATAATATTGTTCTTTCTCCTCAATAAAATTTGATCACTTTCTTCCACTCTCAGTAACTCCACCCCGCGTCTTAGTGGCTTTATTACCCTGCTTGGGAAGAAAAGATTATAAGGAAATATCTATATTGACAATTTTCCTGTTTGGTATTTTACTATGACTGTGGTGTCACTTCCTGTCACCATTTGCTGGGAAGTCTTGTTCTGGAAAAGAGTTAGATGTCTGTTGTAAACAAGTTGTTTCTGAGCGACATACAGTGAACTGGAATCTCGCCTATTACTGGGATCAAATCGTCACACCTACTACATCCTAGACTAGAGTAAAAAAAAAAAGCCACATGTTGGCAGATAGAGAGAGAATGCGTAAGCGAGTGAGATTTTAAGCAAACCATTGTCCCGTGACTAAAATAATTATAAAATAAGTTGTTACACTAATTATCAACTTTGACAGTAGTTTTCATCCTGAACTCGCATAGAAGATAAAAGTAACCAGTTAATTTTTTTTCTGTCTGTCTGAGAGTAGAATTGCCTTACATTATTTACATTATTCAGACTATTGTCCTCATCTTTCTCTGCTTGCAGAGAGGAACCCGGACGAAGCTCCGCCGAAGGGTGGGGTTTCGTTCGGGGAGGTTGACGGAACTAGCCCGCTTGGACGGGTTTAGATAGGTTTTATTTTTGGCTGGGCCTACGGGCTCAGACATACCCACATTAAAAAGGCCTTGTGCCACATTCAATTCCTGTGGGTGAATTGATAAATACCATCTTTGTCACCATAGTTATCACAACGTTTCGGCCGTTGTACGCTCCGGCCTTCTTCAGGTGGTTGGAATGTCGAACTGAACCCTTTATTTCGCTCACCGGGGTAGACTGTTCTAGTTCCACTTGCCATGTTTAATGGATGTCAGTTATCAGTTATCTCCTGTTAATTTCCCTCTGAAATTTCTCCACTGCCTCAACCGGGTATTGAACTCATACTCTTTGGGTCCTGTCACTGGGTCTAACCAACGGCCGAAACGTTGTGATAACTATGGCGACAAAGATTAGCACAATAGTCCGAATAATGTAAATAATATACATAATACCTCATCTCAGAAATATAGATAGAATTCCCATATACTGGTTGATTTAATCAGAACAATTCAGCCATTGCTGTTTTTGTTCTTTTTCGGGCATTATATTTTTTATGGCATAAAAAGCGTCCACAACAGAAAGAGAAGAACCTCGAGCCACCGACTTCTCAGTCCTAACCACTAACTTTGAATTAACTTAAATGGAATTTTAAATTATTTTCACTGTATATATGTACAAAACCCTGGATGATATTCGCTCACAATTGGACCAATGTCATTTATGTCGCTCAGAATAGAAATCGGAAGCATTTTTCTAAAATAAAGAAGAGTTAAAGTCGTTTTAATTTATTTATTTATAAATGTGTTGCCATTTTAGCCTCTAGATGCGATCCGACATCCTTCTGTCCTCCCCATTTTTAAACAGCATTTCTTATTCCCTATCAGCGCGTAAAAACACGCCAGGGAGGTAATGTCTTGAATAATTATTTGTAAAACCAAACGGCGAATGACGTTCGTCATCTGGCATTACATTAAAAAGTGAATTTGTGCTTTCAACTCTGAAGGAGGATTCTGTCTTTCTTTCTTTTTCTTTCCTTCTTCCTTTCTTTTTCTTTCCTTCTTTATTTCTTTCTTTTACACAACGGAATAAGCGTCAACAGTTGTTTAAAAATGAACATCGTTTCACGCATTCGCTTATGTCTGTCCAGTGTATCATTCATTTACGCATAAACAGATCTACACGTACACACATATATACACAAACTCATCTGCCCAAGAGAGATTTTATTAGGATATATCAAAAGTATTTTTACTTCCGGCAACTCTTTACTCCAAGGTATATTTCATGCACGTAAGTAAAGACTATAACTCAAGTATTGGGTGTATTTGGGTATATGTATTTTTTAATGATATCAATGGACTTAAAATTAATAAAATATTAATGATATCAATGGACTTTTATTCGACATCATTTTTTACTTCTCCAAACAGTATTTTATGGATACACATATTTGAGCAGAAGCCCTGTTTGGGGGTGGTTAGCAATGTAAAATATAACTGGCTTGCAGATTCGAGAAACTTAAAAAAAAAAAAAAAAGGGGCAAGGTCCGAGAAGGACACAGGTTCGAATCCTGTCGGAGCGCACATTTGCTTTCAGTTCCTCGAATGTGCAGACCGTATACATAATACACATTCTTAAAACATATGGCATCTACTTAGATATGAGGATCCACAAAATAACAGTTGAATTGTTTAAGTGATTCGTTTTTTTATTGCTTATCAACCATGGCGTTCTATACTCCAGGCCAAGTCATGGCGCAACTGAGAGCCAGAACTAGAGACCTATTGAAAAATGTAGGATTTTCAGAAATTTTAAAAGAAAATGAAGTCAACCACTTTATGAAATACATAGAATAACATTTTTATTCACACCTGAGGATAATAGAATGTGTTGAAAGATAAATAAATGAAAGTATGTATTTTTGCTATGAACACTGATAATTATTAAACAACACAAAGGGGTAATTATGATTTCTGGTAAAAGATATATTGAATCAGAAATTTATATTATTTACAGGTGTCACTGAATCCTTTATTCAATCTATTCCTGTGAGTGAATAAAGACTTTGGTTTAAATTTACATTACAGTTACTGGGTTTGACAAACAGAACCCAAGAAGGCTGGAAGACATCAGCCGAAGTGTGTATATAACAATCAATCATCACAGAAATATAGACAAATAAAACAAAATTATTCTAGGAAAGTTTCAAAACTTTTTAGAGCTGGTTCTTTTTCTGATCTAGGTGTGCCCACATGTTTGCAAAAATTTTTCAAAACTATATTTGCAAAAATAGAAGCATGCTTTTTACTCCATGTTGAAAAATGAAACTCAGAAATAAGCATAAAATGTTACTTAATGAACCTTTTCCTTTATTGTATGGAAAAGGATGAAAAAAAAATAACCATTGACAAGTGTGATCAGAAGGAACATTTAGTTTTCCCCGGTCAATTAAATTGGTATATTTTCCATACTTTTCATAATAAAAATGGGTTTCACATTCACTGGGTTGATTATCATTTCTTGTAATATATTCAGCTATGTACACAAGAGCCATTTTTATTTCATTGGAAAAAGATGGTTCTAAATTTTCCAGATTGTCAAATATTTCTGAACCTTCCTCACAAAGTTTATAATCAGAAGATGTACATTGGTGACCTGGATTAACATCAAATTCATCAATATTTACATTTTGATTTAAAAGTAAAGATGTCTGCCTAATATGCAGCTTTTCAATACATTGAACATTTATAAAATAGGTGCCAATTCTTTTTCTAATGGATCAGTTGAAAATTGCCCAAGTAATACATATTTATGACTTGTAGCTAAAAGGTGTC